AGCTGCCTCTTGCACGACCCCTACTGGGGATGTGCCCGCAACCAAGGTACATGCCCTTAACCGGAATCGAACCCGGGACCTTTCAGTCCCCAGGTCGACGCTCTATCCACTGAGCCAAACCGGTTTTGGCCTGAGACTATTTTTATTGCCCCCCACGAATTTAAGTTCCATGAAAAAGCAGCTTTTTTTTTTTTTTTTCTGTTTCATTTACAATTTTATTCTTCGTGCCTACAAAATGGCCTGCTAATGTAGAAAGCAATCAGTAACTATGTGTTGGATCCACGAGCCCTTGAATTTTTTGTTAGAGAGTAAGTTTCTTGAAGATAGTAAATTATCTTTTCATCTTTGTAGCTCCATCAACTGGCACAGTTCCCAACATTTTTTTTACAAAATGTTGTATGAGTAAACCCAGAGCCGTGGTCGGCAAACTGCAGCTCGCGAGCTCTTTGGCCCTTTGAGTGTGGATCTTCCACAAAATACCACAGTCTGGGCGAGTCTATTTTGAAGAAGAGGAATTAGAAGAAGTTTAAGTTTAAAAAGTTTAGCTCTCAAAAGACATTTCAGTCGTTGTGCTGTTGATATTTGGCTCTGTTGACTAATGAGTTTGCCGACCACTGAGGTCCCAGAGGAAACTCAGATTGATAGAAGGAAAATTGCGTGTGTGTGGTGTGAGGAAAGGGCAAATGGTTTGCATTGATGAGTAGGAAATTCTTTTTACATTTAAAAATAGTTGGTATGGGTTTAGGTTGCCTCCCATTCTAGAATAATCATCTCCAAGTGAAGCTGCCAGAAAGGTAGCCCTAATAATAGGAAGTACTTAATAAAATGTAATGCCTTTTATTATCATACTTACTTCTTTTAAATAATTTACTTATTGTGAAGATAAAGGAAGCAACAGTCTCCTTTTCTAGTGGTGTATTAAGTGTTTTTAGGTTCTAAGTCCTGATTAACCTACCAAGCAATGGGCCTGATTAATCTTCCAAGCAAAACACCTCAGTCTGGGCATGCAGATAATTTTGCATCTCGTCATTTCAGTCTCCCTAATAAACCATGACTCAAGCTTTGGAGTAATTGATCCCATGTGTCCAATGATTAAAAGAACAGCATTTAACCAGGCTGGTAGTGTCAGACATGTTTTCTTTGTGTTGTTTTCATTCCATTTCCCCCACCAAGTGATTATGCACTGGCTTACCACCATAAATTAGTTTGGAGAAGGATGTTAAACAAATAACTTGGAATTTTCCATGATGAACTTAACTTGTAGAAATGTAAACAAAGGAAACATAAAAGAAAACTAATTTCCTAGGCACAACTTATCTTAGAAACTACTGTGTACACATGACACCCTCAACAGCTGCTAAGCCACATGCAAATGAAGAATAAGTTCCTAGCCCCGTTTTAATATTCAGAAAGTGCCTCATTTGCAAGATGACAAGTGAGGAGGTGGGTGGAGCTAGGACAGGGCTGGAAACCATATTGCCTAAGCCACATTGAGGGTGGAGCTATGCTTTGCCAGCCGGCACCTATGGTGAACCAAAACTGGTACTCAGATGCCATCATGCCTGCCCAGGCATTAACAAAGAGCTGCCAGGACATTGCCACACAGTTCATCTCCAACCTGGACATTGATGTGATTCTGGCTGGAGGTTGCAAGTATAAAATTCTCAAGGGGACCCCAGACCTTGAATACCCTGGTGATGCCAGACAGCACAGAGTCAGGCTGATCAGACAGAACCTGGGTCAGGAGTGTCAAGCACCAGGGTGCTGGGTGTGTGTGGAACCAAAGGGTGCTCATTCAGGTGTCACAGGACCCCTCTGTAACACACTTTGTGCACATTTTTGAGCCGGAGGACATGAAATATGAGGTCCACCAAGCTGGACCCAACCCTGATGGAGATGACAGAGGCAGCCTGAATCTTCTGGGCTGAATCCCTGTGGCCTCTACCTGTTCCTGGAGGGGGATCCCACATCGACCATGGCCATCATGAGAGTAGAGCTCACCTGGCACTGAATGAGAACGTCAGTTTCTTCCTTCCTTCCTTCCTTCCTTCCTTCCTTCCTTCCTTCCTTCCTTCCTTCCTTCCTTCCTTCCTTCCTTTCTTTCTTTCTTTCTTTCTTTCTTTCTTTCTTTCTTTTTTTCTTTCTTTCTTTCTTTCTTTCTTTCTTTCTTTCTTTCTTTCTTTCTTTCTTTCTTTCTTTCTTTTTTCTTTCTTTCTTTTTTCTTTCTTTCTTTCTTTTAATTTTTAAAAATATATTTTATTGATTTAAAAAATATATATTTTATTGATTTTTTTACAGAGAGGAAGGGAGAGAGATAGAGAGCTAGAAACGTCGATAAGAGAGAAACATCGACCAGCTGCCTCTTGCACCCCACCCACCCACCGGGGATGTGCCCGCAACCAACGTACATGCCCTTGACCGGAATCGAACCTGGGACCTTTCAATCCGCAGACCGACGCTCTATCACTGAGTCAAACCGGTTTCAGCATCTTCCTTCCTTCCTTCCTTCCTTCCTTCCTTCCTTCCTTCCTTCCTTCCTTCCTTCCTTCCTTCTTCCTTTTTTTTTTTTTTTTTTTTTTTTAAATTTCAGAGAGGGAGGGACAGAGACAGATAGAAAACATCAACGATGAGAGAGAATCATTGATCACCTGCCTCTTGCAAGCCCCTCACTGGGCATCAAGCCCGCAACCCAGGCATGTGCAGGCTGGGAATCAACCGTAACTTTCTGGTTCATAGGTTGACAGCCACACTGGCCAGGCATGAGACCATCCGTTTCAATGATGCCATGGGCAGTGCCAGCCAGCTCACAAGTGAGGACACAGTGACCTCTTCCACATCTTCACTGTTGGTAGCCCGAGGTAGATGCCCTTCTGAGCCTGACAGGGTGCTTAGTGGATGCGAGGAGGGGACAGGAACCGGTAATGAGAAGAAGGCAGTGACAGCTCTATCTTTGGGCATAACATTTGCTAGAAAATTCATTCTCACAGAGAAGTCAAGCCTCCCAACCCAACTCCCACCCACAATGACTTCCTAGCTTTCTTGGCCCAGTTCATCACCGAGGTGACCTCAACACCATGTGTTGGTTGTACTGGTTATGGGGCTGCCCCACTCACACCAATGGTCTTGTAGTTGGTCTTGACCCCACACAGATAGGCTGTGGCAGTGTCTGCACTATCTGGCACGTGTTTGTACTTGTTGCATGTCTTGGACAGAATCATGTGTGGGAACTGATCCATGACCAGGGGTCATCCAAGGTCCTAGCTTGACGTTCATCTGTTCCTTTAAGATCCAAGCTGCTGTCACTGTGGACACCCCCATTAAGAAGATAATGAGGTTTTTGGCAGCCATCTGGTGGGTGCAGCTTCTCGGTGATGTCCAGGGTCTGAGTTGCATGGCGGTTCCAGAAAGCTGGCTCTTCCTTTTCAATGGGAGGATGCCCAGGAGAGCCATAGCCTCAGGCCCAGCGGTAGCAGCCAGGCCTCTATTTCTGTGGGACCATGGGAAGGTGGCAGAGCTGGGATTCCAGAGGGACTGGGACCTGGTGAGGCTGGGCCTTGGGCAAGGCTGAGACACCAGAGTGCCAGCTGCAGGGCAAGCTCTACTCTTCAAATATTGAGTGTTTACCAAGGCTTCTGCTTTCCGCACACACAGGCTGCTTGCGGTGTTCTTCAAACACTTTGAAGTGTGTCTTTTCTATGTGGTCTTTCAATCCTTAATTTCAGAGTTGTTTTAAAACATGGGGACACTCGAGACGGGTACGAGTTGTTTCATGTTGGGAGTTTTTTTCCCATCAGTTTTCAACTGTTGCTCTACGCGGGCAGCTTGACAATGTAAAAATTCAAACCTTGGCATTGAGCAGTAGAAAACAGAACTTTTCACCCACCTGGTGTGGCTCAGTGGTTGAATGTTGACCTTGAACCAGGAGGTCACAGTTTGATTCCTGGTCAGGAGCTGTGCAGGAGGCAGCGGGTCAGTGATTCTCTCTCATCATTGATGTTCCTCTCTCTGAAATAAATAAAAACAAATAAGAAAAAGGAAACCTGTTGCCCATGTTTGTCTTCCCTGTCAGGTGTACATCTCCTAAACTCTAACGATTCCCAAAGGACTTGCAACCAGAAGAGCAGTGGGCAGCAGCAGCTTGTCCCGATCTAAGCCCCTAAGCCTGCCTCCAAGGCCCCCTTTTCCTTGACTCTCCAGTGAGCTGACAGCAGTCCCACCTTGGCTCACTTCTTTCCCATTGGTTTCTAGAGAGCCAAAGCAGCCCCGCCTAGGCTCTCTCCTGTTACTTCTTTTATCTTAAGCCCTTTCTCTCTTCACTGTCCCTAGCTTCAATAAATGTCCTCTCAAAATCACCCGGAAAAAAAGAAAACAACTGCCAAACACTACTTTTCAGCTCATTTAATGACTCACTTGGTAGACTGCACCTGAAAAGTGTTTTATAATGTTCTTATTAAAATAATTTATCACAATTACTATACACTCTCAGTACACTATTGTTTCCATAAAGTAGCGATAGGTATCAATAATATTGCTCAGCTTTTTATCCTTATATTTTCAGCACTGGAAACTTGTGCATAAATCAAATTGTTAAATAATGTAACATGTTTATATGTATTTAATATCCCAATGGTAGATATTTTACCTGTGATTTTAGACCATCATACCCATCCCTCCAAAATAGTTACATTCAGTTCTTCACACACCCATCAAGTCTATTGAGCTGGATTATTTCGGAAATGCTACCACCATTCACTTTAAGTATTTCCTACCTTTTACAATAATAATTAAAAAAATGGTAGGAAAAAAAAAAAAGCAGTTTAGATTTTTTTTTTTCAGAGCCAAAATTAATACACTTTAGGACAAAATCAGGACCAATCTTTACAATTCAAAGTGACTAAAGACCCAAAAGAAACACATCATGAAACCTGCCTGATCATGCCTATCCAGAGCTCTGAACTGAATCCCTTTTTAATAATTTGGATATTTCTTCTCTTTCTCAGTGATACAGGGACAACACCTCCAGAGAGTGGTATTTTTGGATTCATGATAAACTTCTCTGCGTTTCTTGGTAAGTACACAAAAATTATTATAAATAAATGAAAAATTCACAATCTCAGGTGCAGGAGAATATGTTATTTACAATGTGTGTGTATATAATTTTTTATTGTAGTTTTAAAACAGACTTTTTATTTTCAGAACAGTTTTAGGCTCACAGCAAAATTAATCCAAAGGTGGAGATATCCCATATAGTGCCTGCTCCCAGTCTCCCCCATTACCAATTTTTTTTTTTATGAACCTACATTGACACCAAGTCCATATCAGGTTCATTCTTCGTATGTATCATTTTTTAAAAAGTACTGTACAACCTTTTTGCCTGGCCGAGGTGGCTTGGTGGTTCAGCATCAACCTATGAAACAGGAGTCACGGTTTGATTCTTGGTTGGGGCGCACATGCCCAGATTGCAGGCTTTGTCTCTGGTGTGGGGCGTGCAAGAGGCAGCAGATCAATGATTCTTTCTCCTCATTGATGTTTCTCTCTCTCTCTCTCTCTCTTGCTTCCTCTCTGAAATCAATAAAGATATGTTTTTAAAAAGAAAAGCATTAAAAATAAATAAAAGTCGAACTGTTTTGCCTGCCCCTCTCTGTTGGTCCAAGCAACTGGAGTTTTGCTCTGCTTTGAAAATCCATTATGACTTGAACTCCAAAGTTACTTGTGACCTTATGCAACTGTTCTTCAACTTTCCTGGCAGTTCACCGTGAGATTATGAAATGAATTTTAAATTTAATTTGATTTTTAAATTGTGATTTATATACAATACATTTGTGTAAGCCAAAGACACCGAAAATGTAAACTGATGTTTCTCAGAGCATGTTCTGAAGGCAGCTCCTGTGAAAAGCAGCTGGGGTGCTGGTTCCAATCCAGGTTCCAGAGCCACACCACAGATGGACTCAATCAGCACCTCTGGTAGAACCAGCAGTTTAGGGGATTTGGATACTCCCTGAAGCTTGGGAGCCACTGACGAAGGTGTTGTCTCACCTGTTAGAGAGAGGGGGAAGGGGAATCAGGCGTGATTTTCCTCTTCAGTCCCACAAGTGCCCATGGGGGATAGTTGAAAGGCTACAACCCCCTCATGAGTAATTAATGTAATAACGGAAAAGCTCACTACTTGGGAGTGATCCTGGTCTGCAGATGTAACACAGAAAGCTCTCTCTCTTAGTCCTTTTCGAAGCCTCTATTCTATGGGACAAGCAGGTGTTTGTCAGGGACACTCCTGACACTCTTTACCGGCACATGTGGGAGGGGACAGAGGTGCTGGAAACTCAACTTAGTGAGTTGGCACCTTTGGAACGTGTTCATCCTTGGCAGAGAGAAAGTTTCAGCTTTGCATTTTAGGCACAGTTTTTTTGACCCAGTAATACCACTTCTAGGAATTTGTCTTTCAGAAGCACTGAAAGTGTGCCAAAGACAAGGATGTTCATTGAACATTGCTTGGGATAGGAAATACACAGAAACGATATGGAAATCTGTCATTGGGAGGAGAATGGAATAAAAGTGGCATCTCACTATATATCAAGATGGGACTCCTAAACATGATGAGATAGACCTATTTGTACTGACATGGCAAGATCTCCATGGCACATTTTTAAGTGAAAAAAGGCATGTCACAGAACAATATGTGCACAATAGTGTTTATGTAAAAAGAATAACAGCCAAGAGGGCGTGTGTGTGTTTCCACCACATTGTAGGGAGAGAAAAATGGAGTGAGGAAGGACAGGGGTGGGCATATTGGGAGACTATTTCAATTAAGAAAGTGAAAATACAAACTTTTAAAAAAAGAAAAACGAAATGTTTTTGTGTTTTTCCTTCAAAAACGGTCAAATAAAAAATTCACTACTGTACCTTTCTTCCTCAGGTGCAGCCACAATGTACACAAGATACAAAATAGTGGAAAAGCAGAATCAGACCAGCTACTTCAGCACTCCTGTTTTTAACTTGGTGTCCTTAGTTCTGGGACTGGTGGGATGTATCGGAATGGGCATTGTTGCCAATTTTCAGGTATGGCCTGAAGTCTTTTTTGGTTATGGGGGTGATGGAGTTTGTGTGTCTGGAAGAGAGAAGCAAGAATACAAGAGTCAAGTTTGAGCCAGTATAGCTATCAACTAGTTGATATGTTTATTAAAATGGGTTAATTTGCTCTTTAGAAACAAATACTATTTAAAACACAGTCCCATCTGATGTGTGGGAGTAATGAGGGGCATATGTGCATGAGAGAGAGAGAGAGAGAGAGAGAGAGAGAGAGAGAGAGAGCGAGCGCACAAGCTTTGAGAAAAGCTGAAGGCTTTGCATTGCTCCATGTTCTCCACGATGTGGTTGATGTGTTGGGAGAATGACTTCAGCCACTGTGATGACTTCACTGAGTGTGAAAACCTTGTGTATGAGTATGTGTGTGTCTGTGTGTGTGTGTGTGTGTGTGTGTGTACTGATTTTACGGTTTGAACCTTTGGCGTTAAAGTCAAACAACGGCACCTGATCTCTTCCTTTCCCAGAATAGGACAAAGGTGCCTGGAAGTGAAATAATTTGCTCAGGGTTCCTTAGCTAATGAGTTGTGGAGCCAAAATGTAGCCCAGCTAGAGCCAATTAACTCACATGACAGCTACTAAGGAGTCCGCTTGATATAGTCTTATGGTGTCAGGTATTTCAATTTGTGGATTCCTGTTCATTCTAAGATCTCTTTCAAGAAAACATGGGACCTACTTAGCTACGGAGACAATGTTTAATATTTTAAAAGCATTTGTTGTGTTTAAATTGGTGCTAATTATAATAGTACCCAGCCCCTAGAATTATTGCAAGGATTGGGTGAGATAATGTGTGGTAACCAGTGGTCTGTACTTGGGGGTTCACCATCATGGGTTTACCATTACAGGCTAACACTAGGGTGGTCCTGCCCTCTCCATCACTGTTGCCTCCTGTGACAGCAGAAAGGCAGTTACTCCAGGACAACTTTTATTCAGCCCAGGGGTACTCCTTTGTTTAACTTAATTTACTTTATTAAGATGACTATTTCTAATGTGTTATTTTTAAATGCATCTTTATTGTTGAAAGTATTACAGATGTCTCTTTTTTCTCCCATTGACCCCCTTCTCTCCACTTCCTTCCCCTCCCCAGGCTTTCTCTCAGCTATTGTCCATGTCCTTGGGTTATGTCAGTGGTCGGCAAACTGCGGCTCGCAAGCCACATGTGGCTCTTTGGCCCCTTGAGTGTGGCTCTTCCACAAAATACCATGGCCTGGGAGAGTCTTATTTTGAAGAAGTGGCATTGGAAGAAGTTTAAGTTTAAAAAAGTTGACTCTCAAAATAAATTTTAATTGTTGTGCTGTTGATATTTGGCTCTGTTGACTAATGAGTTGCCCGACCAACTGGGTTATGCATATATGCATATAAGTTCTTTGGCTGATCTCTTCCTTCTGAGAATCCTCATGCTATTGCATGCTTCCATGTCATATTATTTTGTTCATTAGATTCCATAGATGAGTGAGATCATGTGATACTTGTTTTTCTCAGATTGGCTATTTCATTCAGCATAAAACTGTCCACGTCTCTCCATGCTCTCTCAACAGTTAAGAGATTCTTCCCTTTTACAGCTGCATAGTATCCCACTGAGTAAATGTGCTACAGCTTTTTTATCCACTCATCTACTGATGGGCACTTGGGCTATTTCCAGATCTTAGCTATTGTAGGTAATGCTGCTATGAACATGGGCGTGCATATATTTTTTTCTGATATTGATGCTTCAGACTTCTCAGGATATATTCCTAGAAGTGTTATCATTGGGTTAAATGGCAGTTCCATTTTTAATTTTTGGAGGAAACTCCACACACTCTTTTCCATAGTGGCTGTACCAGTCTGCATTGCCACCAGCAGTGTAGGAGGGTTCCTTGATTATTAGAGAAAAGACTAGGTCTCTATGGTGTGAAGCAGTGATTTTCAACCTTTTTAATCTCAGGGCACACAAACTAATTACTAAAATTCTTTTTGCCAATCTGATCTAAAAAATACTTTTGATTCATTCACATTGGATGGCTATCATTGTGTTGGTTGTTAACTTTTTTTTTTTTTTTTTTTTTTTTTTTTAACAATTTAAGGGAAAAGAAGTCAGTGTCCCTGACTAAATAGTCAGGCATTCCATGTTTTAAAAATTCTGTCATGGCACGCCAGTTGAAAATAGCTGGTGTAAAGAGATAGAGAGAAAGGAGAGGGGGAAGAGAGGGAGCTCACTTTCCTATCCTATTGTCCCTCTGTGGTGAAATCAGACACTCTGTGCTGCAAAGCATGGTTGCCCATGACATTTCCCACATGGTAGAGACTCTGTGACATTTCCTTATGTTTTATGACCGTATTCATTTTGTTTCTCATAACACATGCTGGAAATTTTCTACGTGACATGACAGTATTCACCGTGCTCCAACTCATACAATTCTAATGACAACCTTAGAAGATAGATAGGTAGTGTAATTTTCCTCATTCTCAATGGAGAAGTGGAGGCCCAGAGAGGTGAATACTTACCCAAGATCATAGGAGTAGGAAAGGCAGAAGTGGCCCTTGCATCGAAGCAGTCTGTCCTGAACCTGTAAGAGGTAACCTCAATGCTACCATGAGGAAATTTCTGGGAGGAAAAAGCATGTCATGATTCACAGAGTTGCAGCATCAGAAAGCATGATGAAAAAGAAAGAAAAGGGCAGGTGGACACCTGGAATGATATCCTTTGTCTCATAGGCATGGATAGAAATTATTCAGCAGGGAATAGTAGGCACTGTCTGATATCCTAATTAATTTATCCTCCAAATTATTCAACATAATTAGTGATACACCTGTCCATTTTTAAGCCACCAAGGGCAGACTTTCAGAAGAAAACATAGATGGCTAGATCATTGGATTTTTGGTTCTCTTAAAGGCTTCCATGACGAGAGTGCATTTTCACAAAACCCAGAAATAGAATCGGTAACTTTCCTGAGAGCAAAATGTTTGCCTTGTCATTGTTCCCACCTTGACAACTTCCTTGTTTGACATCCTGCAATTCATTTTCGGCAGGCCATGAGCAAACCAACTTGAACTGTTACCTTGAGGAGAAGGAGAGATGTGAGGGCAGGAGAAAGCCTTGGTTCTGGTGGGATTTCCCTGAGTAGGAAGTAAATTGTGTTCATCTGAAGTTCACAGATAGCGCCTTTTCCCAGACTGGTGGGTGGGATGGCTACGTTTAGGTATGGTTAGAGTCAGTTTCTGCCTCTGCTGTACTTTTCCTCGAGAGAAGTATCCTTTTTGAAAAGTCATGTTCTCTAAGATTGAACACCCTCAATATCCTAGTTTTCTCTCTTTTTACTCACTTTTCAGTTAATCAGAGAGTTTTGCAAAAGAGATCCCAAAAGGCTTCCAGGTTTTCATCTTATCCTCAGTCCAAGATTCATGTCAGATCTAAGAATCATGTCCCTTCAAAAGGCATTTTTGATAAGAGAGTTTGTACTCCACAGGCCAAATACAGCTCCATGATCTGGAACTGTCAGGGTTAACATGGGGCCTGTGCAGATTGCAGATTAAGATCCTAAAGGAGTGTTGACTTGGGTCTAGGCTGAAGAAGCAAATCCCCTGACAGTGCTGGTGGGAGGAAAAAAATACGTAAATTCAGAATGTTGACTTAGCGTGGGGAAAAAAAAAAAAAGTAGAGTGGAAAAAACCAGGATTCTCAGAAGATTATTCCTGGAAATGACTCAGCACTAGATGCTTTGCTTTATGTTTATTTTCCCTTGGCCAAATATGCCTAACATTCAAGGGGTGAAAAGAACTTGTTTTACTTCATTGTTTTTGTTTGTTTGTTTGTTTGGTTTTTGGTTTAATATTGTTTTCTCCCCAGTGTTGAGATATCATTGACATATTACATTGTATTAGTGCAAGGTATATAACATAATGATTCGATATGTGCATACAATATATTGTGAAATGATTAAACAGTAAGTTTAGTTAACATTTATCAAATCCCATAGTTACTTTTTTCCCGTGTGAGAAGCACTTTTAAGATTTACTCTCTCTGGAAAAAAAAAATTACTCCATTAGCAATTTTTGGAAATACACGTTTATTCAATATAATCACCATGCTGAATATTACATATAACTGAAAAGGTTTTACCTATTTATTTTGTAAATTTAAATATTTGTGTTGATTTCAGAGAGGAAGGGAGGGAGAGATTCAATGATTCAGGGAGATTCATTCAGAGATTCAGTGAGAAAAAAATCACTGATTGGCTGCCCCTACAGGCCTCCCACTAGGGATTGAGCCCACAACCGGGGCATGTGCCCTGACTGGGAATTGAACCATGACCTCCTGGTTCATAGGAGTATGTTTTTTGTGAACAGTCTGAATGAAGAACACAGTAGGGCTATGGAAACCTGGGTGGTCAACGAAAAGTCTGGAAAACAGGTGTGGACAGTTAGTTGTGGCCAAAATCAGGCTTTCGTGGACAGTACTTAATTTTTAAAAAATATATTTTATTGACTTTTTATAGAGAGGAAGGGAGAGGGGGAGAAGAGAGAGTTAGAAACATCGAGCAGCTGCCTCCTGTACACCCCCCACTGGGGATGTGCCCGCAACCAAGCTGCATGCCCTTGACCGGAATCGAACCCGAGACCTTTCAGTCCACAGGATGACACTCTATGCGCTGAGCCAGACCTGTTTTGGCCTTGGACAGTACTTTAACTTGCCCCTTTGCAAAACTCAAAATTGTAAGTTCAAGTAGGGACTCAGTCATTCAATCTAAATGTCGTTGTTATGAGGGAGGGAAGGTAGGTGCCCATGGAACATTTGAAAGGAGCTTAAAGTGAGCTCTTTGATGGCTCCCTATGACCACATTTGGGGTAACGCCAGGCTTTCTGACTAGGCTGCCTTCATGTTGAAATGACTGGGGGCCAGGGACTTGATTTGAAGTTGTCTTAGCATTGCAAGAGCAGTTTTTTTTTGTTTGTTTGTTTGTTTTGGTTTTTTTTAGATTTGGGGTAGCTTGGGAAGAACAAATAGAGATTCGTGGGGAGCAGAGAGCCTAAAAACCTCAAGCACCCTTGGCACTTTTGCACACTTTTGTATGCAGTTTGTCAAATAAGCTGCATTGCAGACCTGCAAAGCAGAAATTAATACACCCATTTTACACATCAGAAATTGAGGTTTGAAACTAAGGTCTCAGTGGTGGAATTAAGATTTTTTTTACTCAGGTCAGCCAGACCCCACAGCCCACCATACCCCACTTTGCCCCTCTAAGGTAGATATCACTCTGTTTTCATCCCACATGCTCAAGTTTGTGTGGAACATTTATTTCATTGCGAGAGAAGGCTTTTCTCTTGGTAATCTTGTTCAAGCAGCCACATTTTCTTTCTTTCTCATTTAAAAAAATATATATTTTTATTGATTTCAGAGAGGAAAGGAGAGGGAGAGAGAGAGAGAAACATCAACGATGAGAGAGAATCATTGATTGACTGCCTCCTGCAGGCCCCACACTAGGGATCAAGCCTGCAACCCAGGCATGTGCCTTGACCGGGAATCAAACCTGGGACCCTTCAGTCCACAAGCAGATGCTCTATCCACTGAGCCAAACCAGTGAGGACCGTCTTTTCCTTTTGGGGCCATCTGTGACACTGGATGGCTTTCAATAGCCAAAGAGAGGGAGTGCTCAGATCACGGTGTGGACAGACCCCCTTGGAATAACATACGTGTGTCTTTCTCTTTAGGAGTTAGCGGTCCCCGTCGTCCATGATGGCGGTGCCCTTCTGGCCTTTGTCTGCGGGGTGGTGTACACACTCCTGCAGTCCATCATCTCCTACAAGTCATGTCCCCAGTGGAACACTCTCTCCACCTGCCGTGTGCGGATGGCCATCTCTTTCATTTCCTGCGCAGCTGTCATCCCCAGTATCCTTTGCACATCTGTCAGTGTCCTTACAAGCTTGAGACCTTCCCCTACCTGCACCCCTTCTCCCCCTAGTAAAAAAATATTTAAAAAAAAGCAAAGGTTAACCACCAAGTTTTCATATACTTCAGCAGAACCATTGGGAGAAACATGTAAATGGTTGAGAATATGTCTCAACTTGGTCAGCTTAGATAAAAACAATGTTGGGGGAGAAGACTGGTATGAAAGGAGGATGGGAAGATGTGGGGAAACATCAGTTTCTGTTTGCTTTCCTTCCCCCGGGGGTCAGTTTTAACAGCCATGTAAAATATTTGGTTTTCTTTGGAGTGCTTGGCCAAAGATATCAAATATTGACATTGTACTTAAAGGAGTAGCTCTGTGAAGTCCTTGGAGCTCAAACTCTTCCTTCTCAATGGCTGTAGGTGATTCGATGTTTTCATTTACTCGCCCACATGAAGAGGTTTTTAAAAGCTCTATATTATCTATTTCCAAGTCTATTAAAGTACAGGTAGCCTTTTCTTTTTGCTACTGATTTTATTTTCAAAAATTTATCTCATTTTGTAATTCAACGTGGAAAGAAAAAAAAATGTATCTATCACATTTGTATGTTCTGATTTAGAGGAAATGAATCTCTCTCTCTCTCTCTCTCTCTCTCTCGGCAATAAATAAAGAACATAAAAAAGCTGTGGTCTCCAAGGGGTGGAATATTTCCCATCTTTTGAAATACCATCTGCACTCCTATCAGAGAAAGGTGCAGAGTCATGAAAAAGGATGATTATGTTATAGGAAAACGGGAAGTATTTTGTTAGCCATGTTGTTCATTTGGGTTGGCCTGTGGTATAAAGTGGGCAAGCTTGAGTGAAAGCATACCATGTGCTTCTGCTATTAAGCTCTGCATTGCTGTTTTGAGATTAGAAGCTATATAAAATGAGAAGCCTGTGCATGGTCTCGGGGTTCGTTTTGTTTTCATTTTGGGGAAGGACAATTTTAATTACAAAATTTGTAAGCACAGAGGAAACAAATCTTACCAGTAGTATTGAGAAATTTAACGACAAAATATATACCCTGTTCCTAAGATGGTTCCTTCTTAGTTTTCTTGTCCTGTTTATGGATTGGAGCCATTCATGCTTTCTCTTCAAATATATTCCCTTCAGACCTTTAGCCTGAACCTCCTTCCCTTGCTTTTATCTCTTTAGACAGATCTCTAAATATTAAAATCAGAGAGAGTTCTAGCACAATAATCATTTCAGGCCTCAGAGTTTCGAATACTAAGAGTTCCTGTTTCTAGAAGTTCTTAGCCATGCCAAGGGGTTGCAGCCCCACACAGAAGCAGAATATGTCTCTATCACACATTACCTTGAACAAATTCTTCATATAGAAAAGTCTTTGGCATTAGACATGGTATTTATATTCTTTCACCAAAATTTCAAAGCATCTTTAAAATGCCTTTGTGTCTCTTTACTGTAGTATTTCTATGTAACAGCCTCACTTAACTACTGAAGAAACTGAGGCACATTAGAGTTAGGCTTCTAGGCCTTTCCTGGTGAACTCTGTCTTGTGCCGGCTTCTACAGTGTTACCTTCACAAAATAATAGCACAAGATCCAGGTTCCCTTGCTTGAGACATGTGCTCTGAGACTCCCCAAGATTTCGCTGTTTCCTGTTCCCTGCTTTTGCCCCTTGCCCTTCTCCTGGCTGAATACTACCCCTTCCACCTTGTTTTCCTGGCCAATACAGTAGTCACAGGCCATGTGTAGCTATTGTGCACTTGAAATGTGGCTAGTCTGTGTTGAGATGGCTGATGGTGTAAACCACACCCCAGATTTCAAAGACTTAAAAAAAAAAAAAGAGTAAAATATTTCATTAATAATTATTTGTATTATTACATGTTGAACTGGTAATATTTTTTATCTATTGTGTTCAAGGAGCTATGTCATTAAAATTAAATTTCATTTGTTTTTTAATCTTCTTACAATGTTGCTGCTAGCTGAGAAATGCCAGAATGTTACTGGCAAATGGATCTCAGTTCAGCAACCTCATTACTTGAGTTCTGGCTAATAAAGATTTCAGAGCCAAGACTTAAATACAAGCAGAAGTTTATTTAGAAAGTCACAGAGGTAGAAGTGGAAGAAGTGAGCCAGCTGGGCTTCGTGAGCTCAGAAACAAGTTACAGAGGCAAAAGAAGGGCCCTTGGAGCATAGGAAAAACAAAGGCAGAAAACGCACGTTGGGGAAGGAGAGGGGGAAAGGCTTGGGAGTGTTTCCCAGAGATCATGCACTGGGGGGAAAAAGGGGTGGGGAAAGGCCTGATATGCTCAAGAAAGAGATAGAGAGGGAGGGAGGATGGAGGGAAAGAGAGTTGGGTCCTCCATCCAAGGGTTTTTATCTCCTCTTTAAAGGCGGGGATCTTAGGAGAGGTCCTAGGGAGGATCTCAATAGAATATTCATCAGCTTTCCCAGGTGTGTCATTTCAGGGTGATGGTTGATAGGTGCCAGAGCAGAGAGTCAGTAGTCATCAAAGCTGGTCCTAATGTCAGCCATGCATTGCCCCTCCTGGCCTTCCTGCTTTTCTGGGCCTGGAGCTGAGTCCTAGATGTTATCTCCAGTTTGACCAAAACCATGTCTCTGTTGTCAACACACCTGAGGCTGTGCTTCTAAAATCATTTGAAACGTGTCAGAACCTCATTGTCTTGAGGACTTAATGCTTAAGGGAGTGGTCATGCAAGGAAGGAGTCTTATGAGACTATTCTCCCCCCACCTTGTTCCTCCTCTAAGTGTGTGTGTGTGTGTGTGTGTGTGTGTGTGTGTGTGTGTGTGTGTGGTGGTGGTGGTGGTGGTGGTGGTGGTGTTGGTGGTGCAGGGGGCGGGAAGGTGGTCTGCCTCATGACTAGTGAGACATGAAAGGCTCAATAGGGAAGGAAAGGTCACCCTGGGGTAAGGTCCCTGTTTTCCTAGTTTTTCTGGTTGCTAGGTACCCCGGGATTTCCGCCCTCGTGACATTCCATACCTGGCCTATGGCTCCTAGTCTGCTCATGCCTGTCTAACTGCCTACTACACAGTGACTACAGTAGAACATTCAATGTTACACATGTGGCTGGCGTTGTGTTTCTGTGGGGTAGCTCTGCTCTAAGAGGCCTCCTCAAACTTCATAACTTAGAATAATTTCAACTCAGGGAAGGCCTCCCTGACACCTCAAACCCCCTTCCACCCTGAATTAATACTTTTCCCTCTGCCTCATCACAGTGCCCTGTTCCTGTCTCTCACGTGGCACAGCCCTGGGCTTCCTTCGACAAGACTGTGAGGTTTCTGGGAGTTCAGACCAAGTCCGTTTAACCAGGGTTTCCCCACCTCTTCCTTCTCTCCCTGCAACATGGTGCCTGATGCCCAGAACAGGGAACTAAAAAAACAAATAAATGAAAGAATTAAGAGGCTTTAAAACTATTAGAAACAGAAGTATGGTCATAAAAGGGTTAGAGAATCTGCAATGTTTTATTTGAAAAACGAAGAAGGGTTCAGCATTGCAAACTATGGGGGAGGGAGGAGGCAGAGGATGTGCTGACCCTGAATTTAGAGGAGGCTCTAAACTTGGCATTGAGGCAACACTTTGAATTTTTAACTTTTTAAGAGTATCTCAATTCTCTCTCTTTTGCCTTCAAAGTTCAATAAATGGATGTCACTACTTTTGTGCAGTCCTTGCTGTCCATCGAGGGCAATGGATTCAGTGCTTGGGATTATTAGGCTGGCCCCATAGTCAGGTGTAGGACATATCTCTTCGATTTTTAAAATACATTTTAATTAATTTCAGAGAGGAGGGGAGAGGGAAAGAGAGAGATAGAAACATCAATGATGAGAGAAAATCTCTGTACTATTTCCCACAGTGACTGCCCCATTTTACATTCCCACCAACAGTGCATAAGGGTTCCAACTTCTCCACATCTGCATCAACATTTGTTGTTTTCACAACTTAATGGGTGTGAGGTGAAACATGTTTAATACTTTGTAATGATACTATTAGAAGAATAACCTAGTCTTAACATTAAAGGACCTATTTTCTTCAGTACTTTCCTTAACACTCTCCTTCTTTTAGTGATTACCTGTGCTTCACTGATTTCCATAACCAAGCTGGAGTGGAATCCACAAGAAAAGGTAAAATTCAAGTCATTTCCAATATGAGTGTCAAGACTGGTGGTATGAGACGGTGGCTGTGTGAAGCCTTCTTAGAAAGAAAGGATCACTGCCATTTCTTAGAACAAGTTGCAAAATATGAAGTAAGCAACTTACTGTCCAACCATTTGGCAATTCATGGGTCATAATAAGCTATTGGAGTAATCCCAAGTGATTCCTGGGATTATTTTCGAAATAAAAAAAATATTTATTGTTGAGAGTATTATAGATCCCCATTTTCTCCCACTGTCCCCCTCCACCTGGTTCCCACTCTTTTTCAGGCCTTCATCACCCTACTATCTGTGTGCATAGGCAATGCAAAAGATCTTTGGGTAATCTCTTCCCTCCCCTCCTATCTACGCCCCCCCCCTCCCCCCCGCTTGCCTCTGAGGGAAGTAAATGGAAAGAATATTATTGGATGAATATTAGTTAGAAGAAATGCCTGGGATGGATTGAAGAGAAGGAGCACAGAGTTAGGGTGACAGAAAAGGCAGTTCAGATTTCAAATCAAGATCAGTCTAGACTGATTGGGAGTAATAGGGGGAAAATATTTGATGAACACTGGCACGTGACTAACATGAGAATCAAAGAACATGATGAATCAAATAGGACTTCTTGGGCGAACCAAAGAATTTGTTCCCATGAACAGAGAGAAATAAGATCCCTGAGAGGATAGATTATTTCCCCGGGGGACATGGATAGACTTGGTTTCAGAATTGTTGAATCTGGGGCTATAATAAAACATCAAGGAGAAATTTCCAGTTGGACACATGGGACTGGACCTCTGGTGGGATTGAGAGCCATCAGAGCTTAGGGTGGAGTGAGTGGTCATTTCCAGACCAAAGAACACAACACCCAGGACTGAATGTTCAGATTTGAGATGGTCTTGTGCCATTCGATACTTACAGCGGTGGTTCATCTCGATGCCATGTGGAGAATGAATGACACCCTGGAGAGAAGAGTTGGGGAAAGAATAGCAGGAATGGGTGTTTGTTTTATTGGTTTCTTTTAGGAACATTTTTTTCAAGGGAGAGGTGGAGTTACTGATGTTATCCAAAATGCAATTTAAGTTAGGAATGGTGGAGTTAAAAGCCAATTGCAGGAGGTTAAAAAAATGGTGAGAGGAGTCTTTCCTTTATCCAGCTGTTTGTAAACATTTGGAGGTGAGAGGGAGAGGAGTAATGAGATGATAAAGGCTATAAGGGAGAGCATGGTCAGAGGAGGATGCTGGCATACAATGGGAGCCTGCAGGAGATAGAGAGAGGCTGAAGATGCTGAGGAAGAGAATGATTCAGAAAAGTTTTATAAAACAGTAGAGGCCCAGTGCATGGATTCATGCACTGGTGGGGTTCCTTGGCCTGGCCTGTGCCCTCTCACAATCATGCACCCTTCAAGGGATGTCAGACTGCAGGTTTCAGCCCTATTCTTGCAGGTCAGGCTGAGGGACCCCACCAGTGCGTGAATCCGTGCATCAGGCCTCTAGTATGCATATAAGATCTTTGGGTAATTTCTTCCCCCTCTCCTCCCTGCTCGGAGATTCATCAGTCTGTTCCATGATTCCATGCTTGTGTGTTGAGTGTCTGGCCACTGGTGGTGAATGGGCATGATAGTTACCTGTCAAATGGTTGCTTATTGCTCCCTGAGAGCGAGACCTCACAGCAGAGCAACCTCAGGTGTACTTTACTTTTCAACCACTCGGGGGAGACCTTCCCCCACAAATCAAACAAAAATCAGCTGCTCAGAAGGGTTCATCAAAGCATATCCCCAGGCTCGTTAAAAAGCCTTTTTACTTTTCAATTCTCATTTCACCTTAAAAATGTTAAAAGCACTTGTTTTTTTATATTCACTCCATAAATTACCATGCCGCTCTTAGATTGCATTCTGTTCCCAATATCAATAAATGAAAAGAAAGTCCTTTGCATTAATTCGCTGAATGGAATGAGCATTTAGGTGCTGCCTCGAATGAATGTGCACTGCTTTAGGGCTTTCGTAATGCAGGCTTGTGCATTGACTAACGTGGTGGGGAGAGTTGGAATTAGAATGGCATGGTCTCATTTTCTGGAGCAAGGAAATCAGAGCTTTGCCTGTACTCACACATGGGTAATGGAGTCTGGACTTCTGGGTCAGCTTACTTTCATTAACATCATGCTAAAGAACTTTCTGCCAACATTGTATAAGCCATCTCTATTGTCCCAGGATGATAAGGGCATGAGGCAGATCCCCTGGTTCTGTCACCAAGAGGGGGCAACTTCTGTTCTCTACTCCCTAGTGTGAGGTGGTCAGGTTCTCCCCAATGCGACCTGGAGAAGGAGAGCGGGTGGATGGTGATGTCCTGGAAGGGGGAGAGTAAGAAGAGGTGTCTGAGAGTCTGATTTTCCTCAGTTAGTCTTTGCGGATGGAAACTGGATCAAAGAAAACTAGTGTCCTCATAGAACTGACTTGCAATCCAGTACCATTTGTTTATTCACACTTGTAATCTGTAGCAGAAAGCAAAGCAGGGGGAGGGAGATAAAATAACAAAAAGCCACATGTCATAGTTTGAAATCAGACGTGGCAGTCCACAGGCCTGATTTGGCAAATGGGTAATGTCAAAATGCAGGTGTTAGTTTTTACTTAGACGGGGTTTAAAAATGCTTTTTAAAAAGTTTCCAGCATTTCAAAATCAGGAGATTACACACACACACACACACACACACACACACACACACACACTTCTGTTTTCACTTTTTACTAGCAACCCTGGTATCATATTTTCCCATTTGGTGAAAATGCGATTGAGCTGGTAAGCATGTACTTCCTCCACACTTCCCTCTCTCTTTGCAACTCTCAGTTCCATTGATTTTTATTAATCTCCTGGCTCCCTTAGGCAGCTGACCTTGGACTCTCCATGAAAGCCATTCTCATTCTTGCTGCCCATTCTCTCCTTCCTGCCCCCAGGAAGGTAGTGACTGTGTACAGATGTCCTGTTAGCATTTGCTTTGTTGCTATGCTTACATATAATGGTAAGCCGGGCTATTGTCTGAATTGACATTTTCTGTAGCAGCAGAGACCACAAAACCCAGTGGTGACAGTTAGCCAATTTCCTCTCGATACATACACTTCGTCTTTGGAAAACTTGGGGGTTCCCAGCCTCTAGTGAGCAAGTCCTGCTCTGCATGGGAAGTTCTGCCTTCTGTGGAGTCCACATGGTTTCCTAATAATACATATTTTGGCCCTTCTTTTGCTTTTTGAAACTCAATAAGTAAACCTTTAAAAACAAACAAACATTTTTATTAATTTCAGAGAGAAAGGGAGAGGGAGAGAGAGAGAGAAACATCAATGATGAGAGAGAATCATTGATCGGCTGCCTCCTGCACACCTTACACTGGGAATGGAGCTTGAAACAGTGGCATGTGCCCTGGCCGGGAATTGAATCTTGACCTCCTATTTCATAGATTGACATTCAACCACTGAGCCATGCCGGACAGGCTATAGACAAGTCTTAAAGCCTGAGCATAGAGGAGGGAGAAAGTACTTTGGGAATAATTGCACCCACGTTCTAACTGGACAAGCGCCCTGCCATTCACCTGTACAACCTTGCTGCTGTGTTTGCTCCAGGGGTTGACTAATGCTCCCAGACAGCCTCCTCTGCTCGGAAATGAATCCCTTTAGACTAACTTGTGTTTCCTTCCCATTGCTGTTAGGATTATGCATATCACGTGGTGAGTGCTATCTGTGAATGGACAGTGGCCTTCGGTTTTATTTTTTACTTCCTAACATTCATCCATGATTTTCAGGTAGGTATTTATTAATTTCAATGTTATAAATTGCTGACAGGATGGGAAATATCCATAGAGAATTTCTTGCATTAAAAAAAAAAAAAGAGCATGATTTGCCTTTCTTTTTACTATTATGTAAAAAGTTTTCGGGGAAAAAAATATGTATTGTGCAACTTAGTTTATTCCCAGAGGCATGCGGCTTTAACAGCTCTCCCAAACAATGAAGTTCCCAGTGTCCTCTGCCATTTGATGTTTATACTTATACATCCTGATTGTTTTTTTTTAGGAGGTCTCATTTACTGGTTCCAAATGATATGTCTTTTTATGTTGTTTTATTTATTTTATTTTTTATTGTTGCCACTTTTACAGATGTCCCACATTTCCTCCCTCTTTGCCCACAGCCACTCATCCTCCCTCCCCCCATGGAGATATGTCTTTTTATTTATTTAAATTTTTTATTTATTGATTTGAGAGAGAGAGAGAGAGAGAGAGAGAGAGATTGATTTGTTGTTCCACTTGTTTATACATTCATTAGTTGATTCTAGTATGTGACTTAACCGGGGATCAAACCCACAACCTTGGTGCGTTGAGACACTGCTCTAACTAACTGAGCTACCCAGCCAAGGCCATATGTCTTTTGAAAAAATAAAAGTATGTTGTTGCAAAATGTCCCTAAGGCAGAGAGAAGGTGGAACCTTGGTAGATTTGGCCACAGATAAAAATCTTATATTTTGAATCAAATGAGTTGGGACTAGCTAAAAAATATAGAAAGCCAAGAAACTTCTCGAGGACTCAACTCAAGCTTAGCACCAGTCACAGGTCATGTCTTTGGGCTTCAAAGCTTTGGGCACTTGAATAGCTGGTATTGGACTTGCTGACCTTATTTAAACCTTTCTTTGCCTTTTATTTTATTTTTTTATTTTTAATAGAGTGTCACCCTGAGGATATCCACAGAACTTAATAATGATATCTGAAGAAAGAGGAATGATATTTTACTCGTGGCAAGTCGCAAGCAGTTTCTAGACGTGGCATGGGGGACCGATAGGGTATGAATGCTGCCCTGTGGCAGGCAGGCATCTGTGGCACATCCAGGACTTGAATTTCACAAAGGATTCTTAATAGGTGTCCTATTTCTAAAGGAATGTTTTCCTAAAGAATGTAGAGCACTTATGATGTAGCAATGTTTTTATAATTTTCTAAACTGGTACTTTTTTTTATATTCACAAGTTCATTACACAAAAGATAAGGTGTTATGGAAAATGGAGAGCTCTTATTTTTGTACAGTTTCTGTTTTGTTGTTTCTTTGTGTGTGATTTCTGGAAATACACTAAATGAGGAATTTATTAACAAGTAACCTTGGGATATTTTGAAATAAACTGTGTAATTTCACATGAGGGTGTTTGTACAATTCAATTGTTAGTGACCATCAAGATTTAGTTAATAAAATAACACTAACTGATTTTTTACATGATCTAAATAAGTAAAATGATTCTATCTAAAAGCCTTAATACCACCATACACATTAACACTCCACAGCAAACCTCAGTTTTAAACATCTGCCTTGCTTCCAAGAGCCAGAGGCTTTTCCTTTGTTGCTGATTGGCAGTTTGCAATAGGCATATTTTTTAAAAAAAAATACATGTCTGTTTGTTTTTTTAATTGATTTCAGAGAGAGGAAGGGAGAGAAAAAAAGGGATAGAAACATCAAAGATGAGTGAGAATCATTGACTGGCTGCCTCCTGCACACTCCTTATTGGGGGATTGAGCCTACAACCCTGGCATATGCCTTGACAGGGAATCCAACTGTGACCTCCTGGTTCATGGGTCCATGCTCTGCCATGGCCAGGTGGGATGACTCAGCAGCGCTGGTTAGAAATCAGAAACCTTTCAACAGCAGAGTAACATGGATGTGAGCAGCTAAAGGGAAAACCTCTTTGGATTTGGGTTGAGCAAAGAGGGACATTCATAGAAGGCAGGATTATGGGAAGGAGACTTGCACTTACTACCAAACCTCTGCCAAGTTACAACAGACCCAGGAATGGTTATCAGGTCCCGCTGTGGAGCACCGAGGGGATACACGGTTTGTTCCATGCTGTGGGTTCCCATGATCACCCAGCAACTGGAAGACTAATCAAAGCTATGTCTAGCAATTGTTTTTTTCTGAAGGGAGGAGGAATGCCACGTGCCTTTACCATGGGGATTGTAGTTCATGGTTGGTCTCACTTTGGACAGACTTGTTATCAGCACCTCATTATGCATGGTCTGCCACTTTCCCCACATCTTTTGCGAGAGTAGATTGGGAGCTCCTTGAGGGCAGAGTCTATGCCTTACTTGTGATCCTTATAACTCCAGCATTTACTCCAGGTGCCTCCTGGTACAATGTCGGTGCTTAATAGTCATTGACTGCAAGAATGCATGAGTGAACATATAAAGGAATGACTAGGGATAGTTGTAGAGCTGCCTACTGAGATTTACTCTGTTCGCCAGTTAAGTGATGAATCCATAGTTCTTGACTGTTTTTGTTTCGTGTACTGTAAACATTTAATTGTTTGAGCTTCTCTAGTCTCTGACAACTTCACTCTGGATAGTTATCACAGAAATTGTTACTGGGGCTAGACAAAATGGTATACCTGGCCTGGCCAACAAGAAGGCCAAAATTCACTTCAGACAGCCACTTTCTGCTAATCCCATACAACCTTTAACCTTGGTCTGTTCCCCATTTCGGTATTATTTCTCATTTCCAAGAACTTGCATTTCCTTGAACTTCATGGCTGAAAGAATCAAATAAAATGAAGTATTTCTTTATTTTAGCAGTTTGTGTCTCTGTTAAATTATAATATGTCGCCTGGGTACAACAGTGATATGTATTTATCAGGGAAACAATTCTAGTGCTTTTGGAATTTATGAAGGTTTAATTTAAACCTTACCTTTTCTTAACTTATGTAACATTGCATGAATGGTTTATCTTTGTAAAGATTTATCTTATTATTTTATTTTTTAAAGTTATGGTTCACATTCAATATTACTTTATATTAGTTTCAGATGTATAGTATAATAGTTAGATGATGGTATAATTCCCAAAGAGATCCCCTCAATTTTTCTAGAGGGCACCTGGCACCTTTGTAGAGATTCTTGAACATTAGTATCAGGAATTTGCATCATTCAAGACTTTCAGTTGAAATACAATTCAAATTCATCAAAGGAAATGGGGGTATCTATTCACTCAAGTAACAGAAGTACAGAGATGGAACTGGCTCTAGGGATGACTGGATTCAAAAGTGCCACCAGGACTCTATTCTCTCCTGTCAGCTCTGTTTTCCTCTCAGCGTCATTCTCAGGCAGGCTTTCCTCTGGTCGGAGTGAGATGGTTTCTGGAAACCCCAGGCCCACAACCTGTCCAGTGGGAAGGGAGGACTTCTCAGTAGTTCCAACAATAGCTGGTGAGTTGAAACTCATTGTCTGCAATTGGCTAGCTTGGGTCACATGCCCATCCCATAGCTGTGGAAGGCAGGATGCTCTGATTAGTCAGATCTGGGTCACATGTCCACCTCTGGAGCAGGAAGGAGCCAATACCCACCCAAACTACTAAAATGATGGTGTGTGAAAGTTGTTTCTCAGAAGAAAGGGTTGAGAAATGGATCTTGGACAAACACAAAACAAGATCCTATTGTGAAATTAAAGCTCCCTTGCCCCACCCCCATATGCCAGAAAAGCCAACCTAACTTCTTTCAAAGTAAACCAGAGTGTACTTGCTGACAACCTTTTCAGGTTGAAAGAAAAAAAAATGTAAGCCATGTAGGTAATAAGTATGCCTTCAGTTAACTTCAAAGTTATGTTTGTACTTTTTCAAGCCTCTTGTGTTCTTACTTAACCTCTGTATACTTGGTTAGGCAATTATCACATGTTTTGCCCTAGCTGGTTTGACTCAGAGGATAGAGCGTCAGCCTGGGGACTGAAGGATTCCGGGTTCGATTCCAGTCAAGGCACATGCCCAGATTGTGGTCTCAGATTCCCAGCAGGGGGTGTGTAGGAGGCAGCCAATCAATGATTCTCTATCATCATTGATGTTTCTAACTTTCTCCCCCTCTGCCTTCCTCTTTGAAATCGAAATAAAAATATTTTTTAAAATTATCACATGTTTAGATGAGGAAGGCAAAGAGAAGTTCAACGACGTGCAAGGGATTCTACTGCCAGATGGCAACAGATTCCAGTTGGGAATCCATTTTCCCCTAATTTCTAATCAAGTGGGTCTTTTTTTTTTTTTTTTTTTTTTTTTTTTTTTTTTTTTAAATCACACAAGAGGATTCCACAGATATTGTATTTCATAAACTAAATGAAGTACATCACTGTTATGCTGTGTGTGGGATTCCACACATTCTTCATATGTGGCATTTTCCCATGTTCCCAGTTTTTACTCAGTTGGAGACATACTGGTCTGGTGTTTGGGTCTGGAATGAGGAAGATAAGTGGTGAGGGAGATAAGTGGTATCCCGTTCTCTCCCATCCTTGATTCTGGCAATCGGTGAGTCCAGCCATCTCCCCACACACATACTCTTGGTCTGACTCTGAGTGTCCTGCATTTTCAAGGCCAGAGAATCATGTCTCTGTTCGTCTGGGTCACCCTAGCAGACTCATCTTCTAAAAGGAAGAGCAGCAGGGTGCCCAAGTGATATTGGGGCTAGGATGGGAGTGACCTCCAAAATTCAACGCTTGGAAAATGCTGAGGGGAGATACCAACCATATGCAAACACAGTGCACTCCTATTTTTCCCAACTCACTGTACAGGGGTGACAACAAAATACCTAGGTAGTGGGTACTCACTATCTATCTTGGATACTATTTAAAATGTTCAAATCAGTAATATTCACATGGTTCAAAACAAAACAATATAAAAAGGGGTTCTGTGCAAAAGCCTTTGTATTGTTCTCTATCTACATTTATTCAACTCACCCCTCTCCTTGAAGATACTCACCTTTTATAAAAACACAAGCAGAAACACATTTTGAAATGTTTCCATTTGAACTTCTACCCCCAAAGTAGCATACTGTAGTTTTGAGCCTTCCTTTTTTTTTTTTTTTTTTTTTTTTTTGACTAAGCAATGGATCTTAGAGATGTCTCCTTGTCAATACACAGAAAGCTTTCTCATTTCTTGGCTCTATTTTACACATGTACCGTATTCCACTGCAGGGCTGTGACCTCATTTATTAAACAGTCCTCTATTTGATGAACAACCTTGTGGTTTTCACACTTTTGCAGTTACAAGCGACATCATTGTACATCATAGGTACATCATTGCACACATGCCGAAGGAAATCTGTGGGAGAAATTCCCATAAAGGGGAATGCTGGGACAAACGGGAACTGTATCTCTAATCTGACCAACACTGACTATCATCTTGCCTTTAGAATCTTCTCACTTGAATATTTTTCTTTGAAAATCTTTCCAACTCTTTCCACACTTTCTTCTAAACTGGGGATGCCAACGACAAGTTCACTTTTCCTTGGTGACTCATTGATTCATCCACAGGCACAGCTGCGGGTTCTGTGGTAGACAGTGTAGGATAGAGGCCAGCTGACTTTGTCCCTGGTCTACACACACTCTCCCTCTCATCTCCCTTGATTTCAACACCCAGGGCAGGGAAGGCAAGGCTGTCTGCTTCCCCTTCTGCAGACAACAGAACCCTACTGTCTTCTATCTCCATCTTCTGCTCCTCCTTTTCATGATTAAGAGTGTCTCGAGCTCTTGTGGCTTTTTTCATTGTGAGCTCAGGCTTTTGTCTCTACCTTTTCTCATCTTGTCCCCTTTCTACCCACTTTTCCTTTGGGTTCTCTCTTTGAAGGGCTGCCACATCACTTACACCTCCTTATCTTTTTGAGAACATTGCGCTTTTATAGACATCAGTCATCAACCACGATAGTCTCGAAAAGGGACTCATTCATTATAGGGCACTGGGGAGCCTACAGACCACTTGGCCCTCCCTGACCTTGTAGGTTGGTGGTCCATGTGGGATGATTCCACCGAGTGGAGGACATCAGCAGTGCAGGGTATACAAAAAGAAAGAGAGGAAACTCCAGCTGTGAGAAAGCATAGATTTTAATTTTGCTTAAAAGTACCTTCTATGTAATTTTTTTAAAATTAAGAAATGACTCTTTACAGCAGTTTTGGTTCATGGCAAAACTGAGTGACAAGTACAGAATTCTTTCTCATGCCTCACCCTCTCACATTCACAGACTTCCCTACCAGAATGGTACATTTGCTATATATACTTGGTGAACCTACACATTATCATCCCTTATAGTCCATAGTTTACATTAGGGTTCACTCTTGGTATTACACATTCTATGGAGTTGGATAAATATCTACTGGCCTGCATCCATTATTGAAGTATAATACAGAGTATTTTCACTGGCCTAAAAAATCCTTTTGTTATTTTGAAAAAGAAAATGTTATTTGGAATTATCTATGGGGAGACATCCTATTTTTTTTTTTTTTTTCTTCCCAGCATCAGGTATTCAGGGACTTTGGCTTAACCACCAAGGACATCTGTCTACCTGCTTACATCATGTTCCATTAACACTGAGAACCTACCATGTTGAAGGCACATTTTTATAATTAGTCTATTTTAGTAAAAATTAAGGTACAGTGAGGTTGTCACCAAGTTTCAAGTGATGGGACAGGACAAAATCCAGAGCTGTGTCTTCTACAGTCAACCTTTTCCAATAGGACAATGGGATTATCAACCATCACTATGTGATTAAGAAATAATTTTCTGGGGTCATATAATACAAATCACTGAGGAGTGAAATTCCTACACTGGTAAGGTCAGAAAAATGAGTGAAATGTTTGAGTTGCTGCTTCAAAAGGGCAGAATGCTGTGCATCTAAGACTTGGGGGCAGGAGGTAGGTAGTGGGTGTCAGGAGTAGAAATAGAGCAGAGGGTGGGAGCAGACTTGATGGGGTCAATGGGGGGAAAAGGAGATATATGTAATATTTTCAACAATAAAGATAAAAAAAGAGAGAGAGAAATATCATAGAGAGAGGGGGCTTGTATTAGAATTTTGGTGGGAGTTTGAGATTGGCTCTCTAGCACCTACATACGACCCCTGAGAAGGAGACTGAATGTCCAAGACTTCCATTGGGCAGTGAGATTGTGGGGTGAGGGCTTTGAGTAAAATTAAGGTTCTGAGGTCTTAATGTCTTTTGCTTCTGGTTGGTGCAGTGAGATAAACGCCAGCCATCTTCTGTCTGAGAAGAAGGATCTGCTCTTTGCTCTCAAGGGGGGAGTCATAGTAGGACCCAGAGGGAAGACATTTGGGCTGCTCCCAAGATGGTAAGGTTCAAACTTGTAGACCTGTGGGTCTGGTGTGAGACACTGAGTTATCTGAGTCTCTAACAGCAGGGAGCAGAGAAAACCTCAGGACTCAGAGGAGTCCCGGGTTCCAGCTCTCCTGCTCAGCAGGCTCCTATTAACACGAATGATAGAAATGCCTGGAAGATCAATCACTATTATTCCTACCTTCTGGAACAATCTTTGTGCTCTGGGTCAGCCCAGAGTAGCAAGTTCCGGGTACCACCCAAGACATCTGATTTAAGGCGAAGAAGGATGTATTTAGAATTGGCCAGTGCTTTGACAGCCACTAATATAAGCTTTAACACAGGTATTAAAATGAATCCTGAGCTCAGTTCAGTCTATCATTTCCTCTTAATACTTGAAAAGCCACAGTTGTGTTTGAAAGTTCCCTCAAAAGGCTCTAGTGGGTGAATTTATTCTTCCGTTTGACTGCACTTGGAACCCGTAAGAGCCACCTTGTAAATGAGACCGGGAAAATCCCGGCTCTCTCTGGCCAGCAGAAGCAGCAAAGGTATGTTCTGAGGTTTATTAAATAATTACCTAGTTGTTGACATGTGGTGGGGAAGGGAAAAGCCGAGGTGCTGGCAAGTATGAAGAGAGATTAGTGAGAATTTGGGGTCATGTGGCTTATAAACCAGGAGAACATTTTGCTGTTCCCTGACCTTCAGCTTACTTAGGTCGACCGGGAGATGGTCTTCTGCCTCAGTTGACCAGCCTGTGGTGTGGCACATTATTATTTTACCTGTCTAGATGGCCGCAGTCAACTGTGATCCTATTACTCCTAAGATACTCAAAGGTCCGCTAGCTGTTGGAAGCCCACATACCAGTGACTTGGGGGTGAGAAAATGGGGACAGAAAAACCCAGAAGTAACTGGCCAGGATGACCTTCTACTTGAAAGGCAGGTTTCCTCCTATAATAAATTGCTCAGAGATTAATACAATTCTGAGCTTTGGGAAGGAAGGATGTTCTCAATTTGGCAATAACACTCATTAGGATTCCCAGATGTCAGCCATTTGTATCTCCCTTTTTTCCTTCCTTGGAGTTTTTGTCATGCTGTGTGTTGCAGTTTACTTGATACTTCTCCATGACTCAGTTTTAAACTTAAATGTTTTTAAAGAAAAACCTTTTCTCTCACTGCTCCTCCTCCTGGACTGCTTAGCTTGGGGAGTACCATCCACTGTGTCCCCTAAGGCAGAAACTTGGGAGTCATAACCTAGACTCTCCACTCCCATCGCATATTTCATAAACTTTATTTCCTATGTACAGGGTAAACCGTAATGATCACCTAAACCAGGGCATATGGGGGAATGAAAGGGGCACTCTTCATAAGTGTGCCCCTTTCATTCCCCCATATGCCCTGGTTTCATCTGAAGCAAATGGGATTGTGTGGTCAGCCCTAGATGGGGTCTTGATTCCTCTACTTCCTCTCCATTCCCACCCTCACTACTATAGGCATTCATAATTTGTTTGGACTAGTGCAGTAGCTCACAACTGTTTCCTTGATTTCAGTCCTGGTCCTTTCCAATACATTGTATACCCCTTCATACACAGAGTTGATACATCTCTCTCTTACTTAAGACTTCGGGATAAATTTTAGATTCCTTAGTGTAGCTTAGGAGATCTTGGTTCTCAAACATTTTTTTAAAACATCCATTGCTTCTTTTTTATTCATTTATTTAAAAATATCTTTTTATTGATTTTAGAGAGAGAGGAAGGGAAAGAGAGAGAACAAAAGCATTAATGAGAGAGAAACATTGATTGTCTGCCTCCTGCATGCCCCCTCTATTGGGGATTGAGCCCACAATCTGAGCACTTGTCCTGACAGGGAATCAAACCTGCAACCTCTCAGTGCATGGTGCCTGCCTCATAGGATTGTCCTGAGGAGTCACTGAGCAATGCCCATAAAGTACTTGGGATGATGGGTTATTCTTATGCCCATGAAAGCTTGAAAAGCTTAACCTTAAGGCAATGCCTGGCACAACCAGAGTTCAGCATTGTGTTTATTATTACCCTTTACACCTCCTGTTTGACTGCGGCAGTGGTTTCAGCTGTGGCTGCACATTCCAATCACACGGAGAGTTTGTAAAACGCTACTCTCTCGAACAATTAAATCAATTTCAGGAAATGGGGCAGAGATATAGTTCTAGATGATTCCAAAGCTCAGCCAAAGCTGAAGAGCTCCGTGCTATGGCACTGGTTCACAAATCTCAGTGTGCATCAGAATCACCGGAGGGCTTGTTCAAACTATTCCCGGGGCAAGTTCAGTAGATACAGAACAGCCCCCTTCTTTATTACTTTACTCCATCTTCTATCTAGTGACTCTTTCATTTCCTTTGCAATCTGCATTCGTCTACCCACTACATGAGCTCTTTTAGGCTCATTACTCTACTGCAGGATTTCTTGAAAACATTTGCCAACAGCCTTCTTCAGGCCAATGGTCTAAAAATTCTCCAACCTATTCCAGCTTCAGACAGTTCATCATGTCTCAAAATTTTCCTTTGAATTCAGAGCCTTTTCTTCTTCTCCCTCCTCTATGTGGAAGTAGGGGGATTCTCATGTGAGACTCCCATGACCATTTCTTTGGGTCCCTGAATTTACCCCTTAAAAAGAACACGGTCATAGGAGTTAGACAGACATTAGTTCATATTGGTAGTTGGTCAATTTGATCAAGCTCTGAATCTCATTGTCCTCCCTGGTGAGTCTTGGGAGATGATATTGAGGCCCCTATAAGTACTGTATCTCTGACACACAACACTCAACTATTAGCTACTGTCGTGCTTCACCTTTAACAAGAATAAAGTGAAATCTTGACCTTGAAGAGAACTCCAGGCATAGGAGTAACCCATGGGATGTAGAAGGCAGAACCAGAGATATCAAAAACACAGCAGAAATAAATAAAGCCAAGATTTACCGAGAGGCAAGAAAAATGGCCTCAACCAAGTATTTTCTAGGAGACATGGGCAGACAGGGAGGTGAGAGATGTGGTCTGACCAAGGGAACTGACCAAGAGATCCCCTGTGACTGCATTAAAATGTGAGCCTACGGGCTGGTCTGTGCACAGGAAGGGTATTTTAACAGATGGGCTTATGGAATGGCCCCAGAGGAAACCCACAAGGGGATTCAACCCCACAAGTGTGAAATGCAGTCCCTCTGGCAAGACACAAAGTGCTAAAGAACCTACTATAATTCGCACCATTTATTATAGTCATGTGCAAAACATGACCATGAGAGTTACACAGAGCTCTTGTTACAAGATAAGGTCTCTGCGTGCGGTTTCCCATCGATGATGTTATTCAGCAGGATGGCTCACATGCTGAAACTTGAAACTCCTCGGGTGAAGAATCCCTCTGCAGGCTGTACCAGATGTTGCTTGTGTAGCTCCTGGAGCCCAGAAAGATGAGTTAATCCTTGAAGGAAATTATTCCGAACTTGCATCAAACTCAGAGGCTTTGATCCAACAGCCCGTGGCAGTAAAAAACAAGGCTATCAGAAGAGCTGTGGGTGGTAGTCCTGTCTCCGAGAAAGGACAGGGCCACTGGCCAAAGGCTGCATTCCAGAAGGCCTCCAGATGCAGAGCCTTGAGCAGGGGGCCTCCCTCAGTGCGATGTTGTGAAAACCCTGCACTTTAAACACACGCAGTCACAAACAAGAACATCCTCACCCTTCCAAGACTCTGCAGAAACATCACCCTCTCCAAGATTGCTTCCCTGCATGTTCCAGGTCTCACTGACCCCACTACCTTCTACCTTCTTTAACTTTCATCATCCATAGCACAACGCCTGCTACTTGTTGCATTTGTGTATTTCTTTAGTGATAGGGTAAGTTCCTAGAGTTGTAAACCAAGCGTATTTTGTGGTTTTTGTATCTCTGAGTTCTTAACCCTATAAGAAGCATCACGCGAGTCATCTTTTCATCCCTACCATCTCGCACAGTACCTGATACATAGCAGGCAGTCAGTAAGTGAATAGGTGCTTATTAAATGAATGAAATTATTGGCTGATGGCTGAATTGGACTGGCATGGGAAAATACATATAAGGGAAGATGTAACAAGTACCTCACCCTCCTACTTTCTGAAGCTTCCTCTCCTGTGGCCCTGCCTTCATGGTTCCCACAGGGGGTATCATCATGTTGTTTCATGATAGCTGGAGTTGACTTTCAATGAGTCTTTCACTGGGATTTTTGACTTGGAACCAGAGAGAGTGTTAAGATAGTCTTTTTCTAGAGGCCAAAACTAGATAAATATACTGGTAAATATGGGAGCTATTGAACCCATGTTTTTCATCCCTTGGAGAAATCTGATCACTAGCTAGAATTAAGGATGAAACTAATGAAGAGAGTGACTGAAGGCACTGAGACAAGAAGAATCAGAGAATCCTGGATGGTCCTCGATTTCTTGGCTTCAGGTATTCACATGTCCCAGGCACATTCCTGCCTTTGGGTTTCAAGGATATCACATTATCTCTCTTTTTAAATATATATATTTTTATTTATTTCAGAGAGAAAGGGAAAGGGAGAGAAATGGAAACATCAGTGATGAGAGAATCACTGATTGGCTGCCCTCTGTACACCTCCTATTGGGGATTGATTCCGCAACCTGAGTATGTGGCCTGACCAGGACTGGAACCATGATCTCCTTGTTTAGAGTTTGATGCTCAACCACTGAGCCACACTGGCTGGGCACATTATCTCTCATAATAACCCCCTCTTTTGCATACATAAGTTTGAGTTAGGTCTCTGTCACTCGTAATTTCACAAGTTCTAAAGAATATAGAAATGCCTGCTTTGTGATAAACACCCAATAAAAAAGAATGGATGAGTAAAATCTCCTTATGTCAAGTTATGAAGTTTGGCAAACTAATTTTGCAAAAACATCCCATCTTTATTTATGGTTTCAATAAATGCCGTTTCTTGTAGGTTGATTCTTCATTTTTCATTTTCAATGACTTTTTATCCATGTGTATGAGAACCTCAGATGCTTGGCCCTGCAATGCCATCTGTGCAGGACAGAAACCATCTGTAAGGACTTTCTAAAGGGCACACAGAGTGAGTGATGGTCTCTGAACAGCAGCCACAGATGGAACACAGAGGATGTCTCCATGGGCAGGGCCGCTGGGAAAACGCCTTCGAGTAGCTCCACGGCAGAGAAGATGGTAGTAGAGACTTACTGGTGTCCACATTTTCTGAAGTTCAAATCTAGGCACATGGCCGAGTGCATATGAGGAAATTTATGGGAACAGCTTATTTGATGTTGCATGGCCAGCTCAGCATTTCTGTTTACCATGTTTGTAGAGCTAAGCTTTAGCATCAGACCTTTTTCTAGACAGGCTGGTCTACTTACTGCCACCCAAATAGACCATGTGGGTTTTATCCTTGATACATCTGCTCACAAAATTCCTGGTGCCAGACACATCTCCCTCCCTTACTTCATTTACTTATTTTTTTAAAGAGAGGGTGGAAGCTCTCATTTAGAATTGAGGGTCAGATAAAGAGCTTCACAAATAAGAAAAAAACTAAAGGAGTTCATTGCCACCAAACCAGTATTACATGAAATGTTGAGGGGGAGAAGGAGGAAGAGGAAGAGGAAGAGGAGGAAAAGAAGGAGGAGGAGGAGGAAGAGGAGGGGGAGGAGGAGGAGGAGGAGGAGGAGGAGGAGGAGGAGGAGATAAAAAAACAACAACAAAGTGTCAACAAATACATATCTATCAAGAAATTGAGTCTAAAAATCAAAATAAATGAACAAGAAATCTGATGAACAAAATAAACTGGTTAATAAAATTGAACCAGAAGCATGGAAGCTCGGAACAGACTAACAAACCTCAGAGGAAAGGGATTAACCAAAGATCTTACCTATGGACATAGACAGTAGGGTGATGAAGGCCTGGGGTGGGGCAAGAACTGAGTGGATGGGGGCAATGGGGGGGAAAAGGAGACCTCTGCAATACTCTCAACAATAAAGATTAAAACAAAAACAAAACACAAATATAGCCAGCCAGATGAGGCAGACCCAGAACTTGACCTCTAAATCTTTGCTCTTACCCAATCTTGCCCTTCTATGTGTCATTCAACTAGCACAAAGCTGTGTGCATAACAATAATGTGTCAAATTAAGGCTTTTTAGAAAACAATAAAGTTCTTCAGAAGAAATTGAATTGAAAATACCAGAAGCAAATTCTTTTTTCTGAAGAGTTGGAACATGCATGACAGGGTTTTACCTCACTTTCCCAATATCCTTGGCTGAAGGCAATGCCATTCCCCAACCCCAAGGCAACACAATTTATGGAGACAGAAATGCTTAGACTCAACTATAAGGGGAGGCATTCTGGTGAAGGAGTAGCTTTGGGAGCCTGGGCGCCTCCAGATGGGTCTTCACAGTGGCTCTCCTAGTCACTGGCACTTCCCTAGGACTCACTGATTCTACTAGCTCTTCCCCAGCGTGTTCTCTGGAATACTGGCTCTGCAAGAAGTTTGTGTCAAAAGTGGTTCTGTTGTCAAGTACTATTGAGAAATTGCATTTCCCCTTGGGAGACACCCAACCCGTATTAAAGGCTCTGAGAAGGCCAGCAAGAAAGAGCCTAATTATTTAACATTTACTTAATGCTTGTAGAACCCAGGATTTAGTACCTCATGTTGGTTTCACATAAATGCTAATATCTCTCAGAACCAATATCTACACTTAGGTTAAAAAAAAAAGGCAATTGGCTAAATATTCTAAAGATTCTTCTAACATTCTGTATGAAATAATAATAGTAATTTGATGACATAATAATGTAACTTGACTATAAACTACTCCTATTGCTCAAAAGGTGGAATCACTATTTTGGATTTCTGAGATTTCCTTGTCAGAAAAAATTGAGAGGGTGTAAGATGACTTAGGTTTAGCCTTGTACGCAGCCCTATGAATTTCCTAAAATGGACAATAGGGGGCACCCGTGGATTGCAGTAGGGCCATTCCTCCCCAAACTGGGCAAAAAAGGGCAAACCCAAGTCATAGCACCAAAGCAATTCCTTTTCCAGCTGAATGGAAAGCTACTGAGAGCCAATTCCTCTCTCCTTTGGATCTATCTCCCTCTTTGGAGAAAAAATGGGAGAGCACCAGGATAGGTAACATAGCCCTTTTGCCCTTTACCTTTATAAGCAGAAAATCATCGAAAGCAACTCTTTTAAACTGCTTCTCATTGGTTGTGACCATGGTGGAAATTCTTATGGGACTCACTCCAGAGCCTATGAGTTGAAAAGGGAATTCTTTTTTCCTTCATCCATTCTCTTATTTTGAAGAAAAAAAAATGCAGGTAAAGAAAAGAACAAACTGCATTTAGGATATAAGTTCTTTCTAATTTATATTTTTTCTCTAAACTTTGGGTTTAGAGGACACAATAAGACTTTCTAAAGATGTGGCAGGCTATAAAAGGCTTGGGGGCAAAAGGACTATACATAAACTTTTCTCACTTATCACCTCTGACATTTAAAAAATATATATATTTTTATTGATTTTTTTTTTTTTTTTTTTTTTTTTTTTTTTTACAGAAAGGAAGGGAGAGAGATAGAGAACTAGAAACATCAGTGAGAGAGAAACATCGACCAGCTGCCTCCTGCACACACCCCATCGGGGATTTGCCCGCAGCCAATGTACATACCAGAATCGAACCTGGGATCTTTCAGTCCGCAGGCCGATGCTCTATCCACTGAGACAAACCGGTTTTGGCTCACCTCTGACATTTTCATGGGAAAAAGCAGGCAGACCTATTCAAGTCAACTCAACATATTTGGGTGACTTCTTCTAAGGTGATATTATCATTTTCCCCTACATCCTCCCTCATTAACTGTCCCCTGCCCATCTCCCCCAAAAAACTGTTCCTACAAAGAACCTCCCACAAAGAAAAGAAATGTTATATAAACTTTAAAATATTGTTCTTCAAGAGAAAGTGTAAATAAGATTCAGGTGTATAATAAATACATATCTGTCAACAATGGAATCTACAAACAAAATGAACATGCAGAACAGAAACAAACTCAGAGACAGAGAACTTTTTGTTGTTTGCCAGATGGGTAGGGGGTTGGGGGTCAGGGGAAAGGATTAAGAAGTACAAATTGGTTCTTACAGAGCAGTCACGATGATGTAAAGTACAGCATAGGGAATACTGTCAATGATATCCTAATAACTAGGCGTGGTGCTGGATGGGTGCTAGATTTATTGGGATGGTCACAAATGAAGTTATGGGATGTCTGGTCACTCAGGTGTACAAGAAAAAAGACTGAGGTGTATAGTCCATAGAAACTAACAAAGGACAGAGAAACCATGTTCCTTTTATAGAAATTCTCTACATTGCAGGCACAGAGGAATTTTGAGCTTAGAGGGTCTTCAGTTTTCACCTAATCTTATC